AATCAACAGAAATTTAAAATGCAGCATAAAACAGAAATATACTGACACAACACAATAAAATGCCATCAACACAATATACTGCAGCATCACAGCAATATAAATGCGGCATCAACAGCAATATACTGCAGCATCAGCATCAATATACTGCATTATCAGCAGCAATATACTGCAGCATCAACAGCAATATGCTGCACCCATCAACAGCAATATACTGCAGCATCAGCAGCAATATACTGCAGCATCAACAGCAATATACTGCAGCATCAACAGCAATATACTGCAGCATCTACAGCAATATACTGCAGCATCAACAGCAATATACTGCAGCATCAACAGCAATATACTGCAGCATCAGCAGCAATATACTGCAGCATCAGCAGCAATATACTGCAGCATCAACAGCAATATACTGCAGCATCAGCAGCAATATACTGCAGCATCAGCAGCAATATACTCCAGCATCAGCAGCAATATAATGCGGCATCAACAGCAATATACTGCAGCATCAGCATCAATATACTGCAGCATCAACAGCAATATAATGCGGCATCAACAGCAATATACTGCAGCATCAGCATCAATATACTGCATTATCAGCAGCAATATACTGCAGCATCAACAGCAATATGCTGCAGCATCAACAGCAATATACTGCAGCATCAGCAGCAATATACTGCAGCATCAACAGCAATATACTGCAGCATCAACAGCAATATACTGCAGCATCAACAGCAATATACTGCAGCATCAACAGCAATATACTGCTGCATCTACCCGTTTGTTTATGTTGTTAAATGAAATTATATTAAGACTCTGACCTTTGATTGTTAGCTTAACTTCTTTCATCATCATTAATTCTCCTTTGCTGCTGTAGACTCTGCAGGTGAAGATCCCATGATGTTTAATTAATAGGCCTCCGCTGCTGAAACGCTTTAAGCCAACTTCACAGGGATAACTCAGAGTCAGACTGAGGTCTCCAGTTCTCAGCAGGTCTTCATTCATCCTGGTTCTGTTTCTGAAGGCCTGGTCCTGTTCTTCAGGACGATCAGAACCGTTATCAAACACATGGACCTTCCAGTTTGAGGAGTTCTTCCACTCCACTCTAACGTCTCCAGGCAGGTTCTCTGTGGTTGTGAAGGGCAGCAGGACAGACTCCACCCCTGACTCCACCTCCACCTGTTGGACTGAGAGGACAACAGAGGACAGGATGAGTTGGACAGACGGCAGCAGCTCTGAGGACAACAGAGGACAGGATGACTTGGACAGACGGCAGCAGCTCTGAGGAAAACAGAGGACAGGATGACTTGGACAGACAGCAGGAGCTCTGAGGACAACAGGAGACAGGATGAGTTGGACAGACGGCAGCACCTTTGAGGACAAAAGAGGACAGGATGAGTTGGACAGACGGCAGCAGCTCTGAGGACAACAGAGGACAGGATGAGTTGGACAGACGGCAGGAGCTCTGAGGACAACAGGAGACAGGATGAGTTGGACAGACGGCAGCAGCTCTGAGGACAACAGAGGACAGGATGACTTGGACAGACGGCAGCAGCTCTGAGGAAAACAGAGGACAGGATGAGTTGGACAGACGGCAGCAGCGCTGAGGACAACAGAGGACAGGATGAGTTGGACAAACGGCAGCAGCTCTGAGGACAACAGAGGACAGGATGAGTTGGACAAACGGCAGCAGCTCTGAGGACAACAGAGGACAGGATGAGTTGGACAGACGGCAGCAGCTCTGAGGACAACAGAGGACAGGATGAGTTGGACAAACGGCAGCAGCTCTGAGGACAACAGAGGACAGGATGAGTTGGACAGACGGCAGCAGCTCTGAGGACAGCAGAGGACAGGATGAGTTGGACAAACGGCAGCAGCTCTGGGGACAACAGAGGACAGGATGAGTTGGACAGACGGCAGCAGCTCCGAGGACAACAGAGGACAGGATGAGTTGGACAGACGGCAGCAGCTCCAAGGACAACAGAGGACAGGATGAGTTGGACAGACGGCAGCAGCTCTGAGGACAGCAGAGGACAGGATGAGTTGGACAAACGGCAGCAGCTCTGGGGACAACAGAGGACAGGATGACTTGGACAGACGGCAGCAGCTCTGAGGACAACAGAGGACAGGATGAGTTGGACAGACGGCAGCAGGACATTTTCTCTGACTGAGGTTCTGGTTCTGAAATGCTTCTCTTCTGACCCATCTACTGGTTCTGATCCAGTTTATCCAGCAGTAGAACTGGTTCCACCAAAGCTTCCATTGATCAGAGGAGAAGTTCTGGAAACTGGTCCCAGTCTGGACCGGACCTCTGCCTCCTGCTCTGGTTCCTCATCTTCACTCATTCTAATGTTGGTTCTGGTCCAGTTCTGCCCTCAGTCCATCACAGTAACTGGGACTCTGAACCTCACACACACTCATTGACCTTTGACCTTCTAATGAGCCTCTGATCACTATTGATCACAACTGATCAGCTGATTGGATCAAAAACAACAAGATCAGATTAAACTGCTGACCTTTGACCTTTAGCTGAACTTGTTTCACCATCAGGACGTCTCCTTTGCTGCTGTAGACGCTGCAGGTGTAGAACCCACTGTCTCCACCTGTGGGGAACCTCAGAGTCAGACTGAGGTCTCCAGTTCTCAGCAGGTCTTCATTCATCCTGGTTCTGGTTCTGTAGAGCTGGTCCTGTTCTTCAGGACGATCAGAACCGTTATCAAACACATGGACCGTCCTGTCTGATCTCTTCCACTCCACTCTAACATCTCCAGGCAGGTTCTCTTTGGTTATGCAGGGCAGCAGGACAGACTCCACCCCTGACTCCACCTCCACCTGTTGTTGGACTGAGAGGACAACAGAGGACAGGATGAGTTGGAGGTTTGGACCTGTTCACTTCCTGTTTGGATTAACTGAGTGTGCAGCTGTTCAGAGGAACTCCATCTGAAGTTATTTTCTCTGTGATATCTCTGTATCTAAGTAAGGGGCGACAGTGGCGTTGGATGTAGGAGTTTGCCCTGTAATCGAAGGGTTGACGGTTCAAGCCCCGACTCCGACTTTCATTGTCGTTGTGTCCTTGGGCAAGACACTTCACCTGCATTGTCTACTGATGGTGGTCAGAGGGCCCGGTGGCGCCAGTGTACGGCAGCCTCGCTTCTGTCAGTGAGCCCCAGGGCAGCTGTGGCTACAATGTAGCTTGCCACCATCAGTGTGTGAGTGTGTGTGTGAATGGGGGAATGAATGTAGTGTAAAGCGCTTTGGTCAGGTCTCCTAACTTGAATAAAGGCGCTATATAAGTACATGCCATTTACCATTTACCATTTAACTCTAACTGACTACTTTAAAACATAGCACCTTCTGCTGCACTTTTCTACTGAGCACTTGTCAGTTTCACACGGTTTTATTTCTGATAGCAAGGAGTAGCTAGCCTAGGCTAGCGCTAGCTTAGCATTGCTATGGCTTCTCTCTCTCCCTCCCTTGACTCTTTTCCAACTCTTCCTTCTTCCTCTCCTCTCTCCTGCTCTCTGTGTCAGATGTTCAGTTATTCCTCTGCCTCCTTTAGTGATAATGGGATGTGTAATAAGTGTAGTATTTTAGTAGCTTTGGAGGCGAGGGTGTCAGAGTTAGAATCCAGGCTTCAGGCTGTTGAACATCCAGGAGTTAAAGTAGGCCCCCCACGTAGCTGTCCTCCAAAAGTGCCTGAGCAGCCAGGCGATTGGGTAACTGTACGCAGAAAGCGTAGTCGTGGATCTCTGCCCACTGGTCACCACCAACCCGTTCACGTTTCTAACCGGTTTTCCCCACTCAGTGACACACCCACTGAGAAGCCCACTCTGGTGATTGACAGCTCCATAGTCAGAAACGTGGCATTAGAGACACCAGGGACCATAGTCAAATGTTTGCCGGGGGCCAGAACGGGCGACATCAAATCCTACCTGAAACTACTGGCTAAGGATAAGGTTAAATACAGTAAGACTGTTATTCACGCTGGTGGTAATGACACCCGGTTACGCCGATCGGAGGTCACTAAAATTAGTGTTGCTTCGGTGTGTAAGTTTGCCAAAAAAATGTGGGACTCCGTAATTTTCTCTGGTCCCCTCCCTGATCTGATCTGACCAGTGATGACATGTTTAGCCGCATGTCGTCATTCAACCGCTGGTTGTCTAGGTGGTGTCCTGAAAACAACGTGGGCTACATTAATAATTGGCAATCCTTTTGGGGAAAGCCTGGTCTGATTCGGAGAGACGGCATCCATCCCACTTTGGATGGTGCAGCTCTTCTTTCTAGGAATCTGGCCACATTTATTAGTCCTCCAAAACCCTGACCACCCAGGGTGCAGACCAGGAAGCAGAGTTGTAGTTTAACACACATCTCTGCAGCTTCTCTACTGTTACCCACTCTTTACTCCATCCAGACAGTGTCTTACCAACGACCAAAATCTAATAAATTAGCAAAGATTCCCAAAGGAGTAAATCATGATAATCTAATTAAAATAAAGTTAAAACAGTTAAATTTAGTTTATTAAATATTAGATATCTCTCTTTAAAAACCCTGGGAATCAATATGACATAGCTAGCTGATAGCCCAACAGATTTACAGTAACAAGCAGACCATTATGACTGTTGCCATATAATTCCTCTTGGTACTGAAAATGATTTAGGGAGTAAAATTTTATACAACAGACACAAAGATGGAAAGGGAGGTGAGAAAGAAAAAACAAAGCAATAAAAATAGACAAAAACCTAGGAAAATGTAAAAACATTGTGGTTAATTGTGCTAGCATTCCAGGAACATGTCTAGACATTTTCAACAAAAAAACTGAAAGCCTGTTTAGTCAATGAAACAAGACCCATACAGTGAGCGGTGACTTTAATTTTGATCTTCTGAATCCCCAGAAAAATGTTAAAACAACAGATATTATTAATACCATGTTTAAAAAGAATATTCTTGCTCTTTTCCCAAAGGAGTAAATCATGATAATCTAATTAAAATTAAAATAACTCCAATTGGGGAAAAAGTTAAAACAATTAAATGCGGTCTGTTTAACATAAGATCGCTTTCCTCTAAAAGTCTACTAGTTAATGACTTGATTTGTGATAATCACATTGACTTGTGTTGCCTTACAGAAACCTGGCTGCAGCAAGAGGATTATGTGAGCATAAATGAGGCAACTCCTTCAAGCTATTTAAATTTTCACATCCCCAGAAGTTCTGGGCGAGGAGGAGGAGTAGCAACAATCTTCCAGTCTGACTTACTGATTACTCCCAAAACAATTAATACCTACAACTCTTTTGAACATTTAACCCTTAATTTCCCTGATCCAAATTTCAAGGCAAGAAAACCTCTTCTTTTTGTAACTTTGTATCGTCCACCAGGTCCTTACTCTGAATTTTTAGATGAGTTTTCAGAGTTCCTTTCTGATTTGGTATTAAATACTGACAGGGTCATCATAGTGGGAGATTTTAACATCCATGCTGACATTGAAGGCGATAGCTTAAGAGCAGCCTTTAATGCTATCTTAGACACTATTGGCTTTGTTCAAAATGTGAATAGTCCCACACATTCTCATCTTCATACTTTGGATCTTGTGCTGACATACGGCATAGAATGTGAAGAAATAACAGTATTTCCTCACAACCCTGTCCTCTCTGACCACTTTCTAATAACCTTCAGGATTACTTTAACAGAGTTCTCCTCCCCCAAAAGAAGGTTCAATTTTAGTAGATCTTTATCAGATAGAGCAGTTATAAATTTTAAAGAATCTGCTTCACTTTCTCTCTCCTCTGTGTCGCTGAGCAGTGCTGCAGAGTACAAAAGCATAGCTTATTCCCCTTCACAGGTTGATAATTTTGTTGATGGGGTTGCTAGTTCTCTGCGTATTGCCTTAGACAACGCAGCTCCTTTGAAAATGAAAACCGTTAAAAATAGAAAGCTTGCTACTTGGTTTAATGCAGAGCTGCGTACTTTGAAGCAAAATGCTAGGAAACTGGAGAGAAAATATCGCTCCACAGGCCTGCGGGAGTCCTTCCTAGTCTGGAAAAATGGTTTACTGCTGTATAAGAGGACCCTTTGTAAAGCAAGAGCAGCATACTTCTCCTCATTAATAGAGGAGAATAAGAATAATCCTAGATTTCTTTTTAATACAGTTGACAAACTCATCCAGAGCCATAGCTCTGTTGAACCGTCCATTCCACCTGCTCTTAGCAGCAATGATTTTATGGGATTCTTTATAAATAAGATTGATCTTATTAAAATAAGATCATAAGCACTCCTCTATCCGCGATTGTACCTGAGGTAGTCATGGAATCTGAACCGGGTTGAACAGTTGAACTCAGAGTTGGCAAAATTATTGTCTTCATCTAAGCCTTCAACTTGGATGTTAGATCCAGTTCCAAGCAGGTTATTTAAGGAGGTATTCCCTTTGATCTCCTCCTCCATTTTAGATTTGATTAATCTATCTCTGTTACAGGGATATGTACCTAAAGCTTTTAAAGTTGCTGGAATTAAAATTCTGCTTAAGAAACCGTCTGTTAGGTTTTATTATTTATACATCATGTGCATTGTTATTTTGTTAGTCAGATTAGACAGAGCAGAAGGCCTTCCTTCACATTGTGGATGTCGCACATGCCTTCGTGTCTTTAAGAATACACAGGATATGGGCACATCTTGGAGCCGGTCTGATGGGAGAGCTGCTGTATCTGTAACCCTGAAGCATACTGTAGAAGCAAGCTGCATGGAGTTCAAGACATGGATGGCGTGTCAGTTTCTGATACGGACAGCTAAGCATCCACATGATGCAACACATAGACTCAGAAGGTATAAGAAGCAGGAGATGACGTTGTTCGGGGCTCAAACTTTGCCGGACGCTTGCGGACGTGATTTTTGAGACCACAGCTGTGCAGCTCTAAGCATTTTTCTCTGTCCTGTAACGACCTGATCTGGAATAAACTCTGTTACTTTTTATTCCTGTTTTTATAGTCCTTTTTTATATGGTTTTACCCAGTTTGAGTTAAGAGTAGTAAATAACTTGCTCCCAGGAAAAGAACCGATGAGGAGGCCCCCGGGGCGCTACAGCCTTCCTTCCAAGGGGACAAATCCTCCTCACTTTAACAAATTGGTGTTTCCGCCCGTGACCTGGAAGCAGGACAACAGAGCCACCGACGGAAAAAGCTCCACAGCCTGCGGCCGAAACAACTGATAAGGTGAGGAGATTCCTTATTACAAAATATCTCCAGTGTTTTTACTGTTAAAACACTTTGGCTGTGTTGTGATTTTCTGAAGTGAGCTGAAGCTTTTTATGCAAAAGAGGACAGAGAAATTGCTCAGAGTGGGCTTTTTCTCTTTCCTTCTCTTCTCTTATAAAAGGAAAGAGAGAGACGATAAAATGGAACCCCATAAAACATATTAGGCCGAATCCCGAATTAGGCAACTTGTTTGTCTAATTCCAGAGTTGGTGGAGTGAACTAGGCGGAACTATATATATAAATCTTTTTTCTTTTCTCTAAATTTCTTTTCATTTTTTTTCTTTCCTTTTTTTCTTTTCACTGACGGACGTATTTCTTTGACGGACGCGCTTCCTTAGCAGAAAAGCGGCTCACTGAAGTTTATAGGTAAAAAGTTTAAAGCCCAGAGGGATCTCACGTAAGACGTCGAGGTCTAATTTTATACACGGTGTGAACGGAAGGTGTGAATAATTGATGCATGTGGACTAGAAAATTGAATCCAGAAATACCTCGTTAGCACCAGAAGGAAGAAACAAAACTTTTGGATCTGATTAGACAAACCAAGTTCAATTTTAGTAACTATGTTTCTGACAAGGATTCTGAACAGGAACAGGTGGAGCAAAACGGGGCTCAGGGAGGTGAGCAGGCACTCGACACTTCAGAGGGTAAGAAAAACCTCCCATGAATACATCTAATATTGCAGAAACAGAGCCTATTATGGACCCCAGTCCACACCAAGGTGTCAGAGAAATCTTTCGTAAGGCTGGTGATGTTTCCATCAAACCCATGTGTGCAGATGCCTGTTATAGAGTTGTGAGAAGGTCAGATAAATTGTGAAATAAGGCCTATAGAGGAAGATTTGAGACAAGAGGTACGACTGGAGTTTCAGATGCAAGATTTAATAAAGGAGGCGGTAAATAAGGCATTTCAGCGAGTGTCAACAATGTATAGAATAAGCACAGCACATGAAGGGCACAGTCTAGGGGCAGCTGACAGTCTGAGAGGGAGAGATGAGCAGAGGAAGCCACATACGGATAGCAATGAGGAAGATATGATACAAATGGAAAGGAGAAGATTAGAATTGCAACTACAACTGCAGGAGATGGATCAACAGCTGGCAGAAAAACAGATGCAGTTAAATAAAGTAACGGACAGAAAAGGGGTGTTTAAACATGTGGAACAGTTTTGCTATGGGGGACAGGAGGGAGCTACAGACATGGGACAACCGCACACAGAGGATCAGTGCCTTTTGATGATAAATGACAGGATTGATAGAGCTGTGGAACTAGTCAAGGATGCCATAAGAATAACACAGAACAAGCTTGCCTACTCACAGCCGCTTGACCCCGCTGGAAGCAAATATAACCTGAGTAAGGAGAATAATAGAAGTGACAGGGAGATGGTAGTCCAGATGCCATTAGTTCAGACATATAACGATGCAGGTAGAGTACAGACGGTCAGCTACAACCCCCTAACTTCTACTGATAGTGCCTCATTTAGATACAAACTTCCAGATCCTACAAAAGCAGCCCCAGTGTCGGACCAATTTTGGGCAGCCCTAAGAGCTACCTACCCAAATGAAACAGACTGTATTCTTATAAAGGAACGGGAAAAAGAAAATAAAGCAAAAAAATCACAGAATAAAAATACCCAGACAAATATGACTAACCCTGAATGTGTGACTCTTGCCAGCATGCACGCGGAGGAGGACTACCAGATGTACCAATACGCACAGGCAGCAGCGTTTGCTGGGGGACGTGGCAGAGAGAGGTAGCCTGGGTGCCAGTCCGAACTTAGTCCCGCCCACAACGTTTGAGGTGGGGAAGTTCGGTCTGGCTCTGCTCCATAGTAGCGCGAGTATTATCGCCCACTGTCAGGCGATCCAATCAAATTGTCAGGGCGGGCTTTATACGATGATGGACAGATGATCAAGAGTAACGTTATCAACCACGTGACCAAAGCGCGCTTGGGTGACAACAATAATGGCTGCCGCTGGAGAGTTTGGGTGAGTAGATTCTGCTATTAGGTCTGTTCTAGAAGATATCGACAGCAAATTAATTTTAAAAGAGGAACAGAGAAACGCGATCAAGTCTCATCTTCTTATTCTAGGCGTGCAACTGCACGCTTTGATTTTTGTGGACAACAACTATGCGTCGCTTAACATACGTCACGCACTCCGTTGCTCTTATTGGTTGTAGGTCTATCCAATTGAGTGCAGAGGCATTTCGTTCAAAACACGCCCCATAATCACAGCTCTATGGAGCAGCATCAGACTCATTCTGACTAGAATTGAGTCGGACTACGTCAGGCTAAGAGAGAGGGGCAGAGGATAAGATCAAAACGACAGGTATATCACTTGCTGGGTCTGCGGACGAATGAGACATAGAGCAAAGTGGTGTCAAAACGGTTATCCTACACACCGTTTGCAGCCCCAGAGGAGTGAACTGAGAGAGGGACAGAGATGCCAGTGCCGCAAGCCGCCCCACCCCCAGCAATACTAGGGAGGCCGGGATCCCACTAGTTGTGTAGTTATGGAGGTAGTTGTTTTTAGAAATTTCCAGCAGCAGTGATAGATATTTTGATTGACGGCAGTAACTGTTCTTTTATGGTTGATACGGGGGCCAGATACAGCACCCTGAATCTTTATGTGCCCACCTCCCAAAAATCTACACAGGTAATGGGATTTTCAGAAGGAAAAAAAAACAACACATACCACTTTTTCAGAGCCCCTTAGAGGTGTTCTCCTATTTGAAAATTCAAACATGTCATTTTTGGGGGACGCTTAGAATTAAAAATCATTGGGTGTGAAAACTTATTTTGTCTAACGTGAGCAAATAAATCTTAGGTTTCCATAAATGTGCACATCTAGTTTAACAAGGATCCTAAAATGAGGCTGAAAAGCACTGGTGCAGAGGTCTTAAGACCGGACTGGTGAAAAGATTATGACTTTTTGTTTAAATTGGGAAAAAATCCTCTAAGAAGATAAATCTAAATTGATACTGATGGATTAAACAAACTTTATGTGGCCAATGTCTGTCTGTCTGTCCTAAATGTGGAACGCATGTGAGGTAGAATGTGTGTGGTCAAGTTGGGAATGATTAAGAATATTTTATGATGTGACATTAACATGATTAACATGATTTGCATTTTTACAGGATTGAGAAGGAGCACTGGGGGCATAACAGAAGGGTAATCGTATCAAACATGTTGCTCAGGGGCCCCACCTATGAGAGGCCCTGACAAGACCAGAGCAGGTTGCTGTTGTAAGGTGTGAGGTAATTTTTGGGTGTGGAGTGCAGCTGAGATACTGTAGATTAATAGATTATAGATTAGAAAAAAAATAAAATAAAATTTTAATATATAATTATGGGAGTGGGTGTTTTTACTTTTTGGGAAACTAAAATCTCAGACAGGGGCATCTCTAATCATTACTAACACTTTTCACTGTTCATCTGGGCATGACTTTCTTTGCATGACGTGTTAAATTCTGCTAACTTTACAAATTTTTGTGAATGAAGTGATTAACTATTGACTAATTGATGAACTGTTTGATTGCTTTTTCCTGGTAACAAACCAGAGGGGTCATTTACTTTTTCCCTGCTTGTAGAGAGTGACAGTGCGGCTGTCAGGGAGCAGGCATGATTATTCAGAGGCCCATTTAAGGAGGATCAGGAGATCATTTTGCTTAAATATGTTCTTTTTTCTTTTTCAGGCTGTGTTTGTAACAATCCTTAAATGTTAACATTTTTTCTTCCAGGACAGGCTGACAAAAGTCTCATCCTTCATTGTGTTTTGTTTAAGATGTGCATTAACCCTTATTTTCCCAACAGCTGCAGAAGTTCTGGCATGTGAAATGGACAACTTGGCTGAGAGTGACTAGAGCAAGAGAGAGAGAGGGGTTCAGATAGTTGAAAAATTTTTGATAGAAGGATTTGAATAGATTCGGACTGACTGGACTGACTTGGTTAGTAACTGGACTGACTTGGTTAGTAACTGGACTGGATCGGAACCATGGATTAGGACATTAGAGAGATGGTGTAAGAACGCAGCATGCCAGAGACAGGGTGTAGAGATTGTGAGCTGCATGTTTTGTTCCCGGCTGAAGGCCATTCTGGTGAGCTCTGAGTTTGTTTTAATTCCTCTCTGGTTCTGATATGACCTATGAGGTAGAGATGGATGTGGTGGTTTGAAGCTCACAGACTTTTGTTGGGGTGGAATTGCGCCCCCATTAAGAGCAGTCATGCTGACAGAGGCATTAAATGAATGACATGATGAACCAACAACTATCTGGAGGAGTCAGAGGCACCACTGGGGTTTTTGTTGTCTTACATGTTTGTCGTTGTTTGGGTCTGTATGTTTGTTTGTTTGTTTTTTCTGTTTGTTTACTAACATCTTAGCCTTTATGAAAAAAAAAAAAAAGACGTGGCACGCATGTTAATTTTGTTTGAATAGTTTTGACTACACTACGGATGGAAATGTTTCAAAATGAACAATGGATCTTTGTTTGGAGAGACATTGGACACTTTCTTTCTTGAGTCACAGGATGGATTAACCTACAAGGGGCACAGAGACTAACTTTGCTCCTAAACTACAGAAGGAGGGATGGTTTGCAGCTGCTGAGATGCGAACATTAAGGAAATGACTGGATGCCCACTGCTTTGGACGAGAAAAGAACACTGGCAGTGATGGGTTGATGGAAGGTCATGGGATCATCGGACAAGACGGATGAAAAAAGATAAGTGAACTGACACACCAGATTTCTTATTCACAATGAAAAATTATGGGCAACTTATTTTAAACCGGTTTATTAATATAGATCTATGAATAATATATTAGCTTTACGAGGATCAACAGGTAGATGTAAAATGTTTCCAAACAACAAGGCAGTAGTTGAGGATTTTTATTATTATTTTAATTTTTTTTTTTTTGTATTTTTTTTAAATAAAAATATCAGTAGCGATGGCAACAACATAAAGTATAAATTATAGGAGTATTTTTATCGACAGGTTTTAAATGGTCTGCTAAATTTTCTCTATATCATCAGGGGGTGGGGTATTCTTAAATAGAGGAATAAAAAGGAGGATTTAGAGATGTTTTACTATGTGATAAATTAAACTGGGGTTTAGAAAAATAGTTTGGTCAGTTGTTAATTAGCAGAGTATTTAAGGGACCACAAGTTGAAACTTTAACATTTGGTAATGGTAAAGTAGCAACACTAAAATGCAATTTAGGAAAAATTTTAACATTTTAGGACCAAATGTTTAAAATAAATGATGATTTCTTTCAATAAAAGTAATAACGATGAAGACTTAATGGGTTAATGAGCTTATGGCGATTCAATATCAGGCCCAGGAACTAAAACTTCACCATTTATTTTTTATTTTATTTTGATTTTGTTTTATTTATTTTGATTAATATTATTTGTTTTTTGTTTTTTACTGCGAGCAGAGTTATAGATAGCATTTGAGGGGCTATATACAATTTGGGGGATGGGTAACCATACTTTTTATGCATGAAGCAATAAGAATACCTGACTTTACTTCACTAAAGCAATCGATACTTTAGAGGGAATGCACACTTAATAAATTACAATATCACCCCTCCTTGAACCGCCACCTTAACGTGGTGGAGGGGTTTCAGCGCCTGAGTGATCCCAGAGGCTATGTTGTCGGGGGCTAAATGCCCCTGGTAGGGTCTCCCAAGGCAAACAGGCTCTGGATGACAGGTCAGACGAAGAGCGGTTCAAAAACCCTTATGACGAGGACTACAGCGAGGCACGTGACGTCGCCCGGTACGGCGGAGCCGGGACCCCACCCTGGTGCCAGGCCTAGGGTTGGGGTTCGTCGGCGAGCGCCTGGTGGTCGGGCTCTTCCTCGCGGGACCCGGTCGGGCCCAGCCCGAAGGAGCGACGCAAGGCCATCCCCCAGTTGGCCCACCACCTGCAGGGGGAACCATGAGGGACCAGTGCATAGAGGATTGGGCGGCAGTCAGAGGCGGAGACCTCGGCGACCTGATCCGCGGGCGCTTAGACTGGCTCTGGGGACGTGGAACGTCACCTCACTGGCTGGGAAGGAGCCCGAGCTTGTGCGGGAGGTGGAGCGAAACCGGCTAGAAATAGTTGGGCTCACCTCTACGCACAGTCAGGGCTCTGGAACCCAGCTCCTTGAGAGAGGCTGGACTCTCTTCTACTTTAACACGTCTCTTGACCCAGATGACTAGGTTAATTATAGACCTATATCCAATCTTCCTTTCTTATCTAAAATTCTTGAGAAAGTAGTTGCCAAACAAGTTTGCAATCACTTCCACCATAATGAACTTTTTGAAGAGTTTCAGTCTGGCTTTAGAGCTCATCATAGCACTGAAACAGCTCTGGTGAAAGTCACTAATGATATTCTCATGGCCTCAGATAATGGACTTGTATCTGTGCTCGTCCTGTTGGATCTCAGTGCTGCATTTGATACAGTTGATCATAATATTCTTTTATTTAACATAATTATTGGTTAATAATTATACGGTGTTCAAATGACTCAATTGGAAATAATGACGATAATAGCATTATTTAATAATAATAATAACGATAACATTAATAATAATGATTACAATGATAGAGGATATAAATAACAGGATTTTATTCCTACATTAAGATGAATGGTGGAGGCTTTAAAATGATCTATTCTCAATGAATCCATAGCTCAGATATATCTGGAGGTTAAAATTGACTGAAAATTTATGGGTTTTCTTCAACAGAACATATTTTATTTGTTCTGATGAAGAAAAGGGTGGAAAGAAGATAAAACAAGAGAAAAACAGCAAAGCTAAACTAATAAGGATCCATACGTCGTTATCACTTGGTCCTATTTTCTCTCTGTTCGTATCAGTGCGCGCCGTCATTCAGACAGCTAGGGCCTACTAACCTGACAACAGCCAGATGCATGTCTCCCTCCGCCCAGCTAGGAGCTAGGCGGAGGGAGACATGCATCTGGCTGTTGTTGAGCTCGCTGTCTGAATGACGGCGCGCACTGATACGAACAGAGAGAAAATAGGACCAAGTGATAACGACGTGTGACTTTTTCCACTACAACGTTTTTGGAATGCAAAAATATCGCTCTTTTGAACACATAATGTTTTGGGAAGAGAAACGTTTTATTTCGCTGGGTCTAGCAAACCTGCCGGACTACTTTCGGCTTGACCAAAACTGGACGAGAACTCTGCTCCCAGGACGCTGCCAGGGGTAAGTCAGTGTGATTGCATGACACTGGTGATGGGGATGCCATACAGATTCATGTCAAAAATACCGAACTATCCCTTTAAGGCTTTATATGTGAGAAGGAGGATTTTAAATTCTATTCTGGATTTAACAGGAAGCCAATGAAGAGAAGCCAGGATAGGAGAGATATGATCTCTCTTTTTCATTTTCATCAGAACTCTGGCTGCAGCATTTTGGATCAGCTGAAGGCTTTTAACTACAGTTTGTGGACTTCCTGATAGTAAAGAATTACAATAGTCCAGCCTTGAAGTAACAAATGCATGGACTAGTTTCTCAGCATCACCCCTGGACAGGAGATTGCTCATTTCTGCAATATTCCTCAGATGAAAGAAGGAAATTCTAGAAACCTCTTTGATCTGGGATTTAAATGACAGGTCCTGATCAAAAATAACACCAAGATTTTTTACTTTATTATCTGAAATCAGTTTAATCCCATCCAAATGAAGTGACTGGCTAATCAGTTTCTTTTTCAGAGACTCTGGTCCAAAGACTATAACTTCTGTTTTGTCTGCATTCAGAAGCAGAAAGTTAAGAGTCATCCAGGTTTTTATGTCTTCAGACATGCCTGTAATCTATGTAATGGGTTAGCTTCATCTGGATTATAGACAGATATAGCTGGGTATCATCAGCATAACAGTGGAAATT